CTGCATGTTTGTGAACATCTGGAGACTCATAGACCTGCTACAGAGAGATGCAGTGAATCTGGGCTTGATGGAAAACAATTGTGTTCAGAAAACTATTTCACTAAAAGGTTATCTAGAATTTTGATGAGAAGTGTGCACAAAAATAAAATTGTGCATTTCAATTATCAAGGTATACTCCAGAATGGCAGCACATACAGAAGGTACTCTACCAGAATGCTTATTACCGGCGCGCAAAAATAAACCAGTGGCATTTCAAAGTCGTTCACGAAATGACCGTCAGGTGGAGCAAAGGGACATTTAGCAAAACAGCAGCAATTGCCGCATTGTGAAACTAAGTGGGGCTAATGTCAATTAACAGTAAGGATGAAACACTACAACTATGGTAATTTCCAAATAAGCCTACAACAAACATGAAAAATCAAAACAAGAGCTATTGACATTTGCTGTACAATAATGAAACAAACAAAGATTTGGTGGAGTTGAAACTGCATGTTAAAGTAATAATTGTATTATTAATTAAAGAAAGACAATTTGGTTAATGTTCTTTAATCAAACGATCATACAATTTATAGTTTACATAGTATACATGTAGTATACATATAGACTTTTATTTGTACGAACATTGAACTATTATATAACTATTATATAACAAGTGAAACAGAATAGAACAAACTTTTAGAACAAAAAAAAAGAATACAACTTTTTTAAAAATAGCCTATAGGCTACAACAGATTTGGTTAAATTGAACGAAAGCAAAACTTAATTATGTAAAAGTAAATTTTAAACCGATTATAACAAACTTTTGGAGCAGAACATTTTATGAATCAAAAGTTAAAATAGGCCTATCTCGCAGTCAGTGAAAATAAATGAGGTGCAATGACGCTAACAGGGGCGAGTGGGACCAAAAAATCTACCGGGCAATTTCGTAGACAACCGGCCCTCGTGGGGGGTTGATTTGTTTGAATATAATATTTTAATATCTAATTTGCTGGGTTTAAGCTGGGTTTAATAATTTGCTGGGTTTAATTTTGTTCCTCAGTATTCTGTAGCAAATTCTGAAAAGGCATTTGTAAGCTATAATTCATGCTGTGTGTGTACTGTATCTTAACTTGAGAAGCCAGAACCCCTTTACATTTAATAGAAAACATAATGAACCACTTATATTACGTAAAAATGTATAAAAATGTGGGTACATTTGCAATGCTAATAATTTGCATCATTACAGTCTGTAAATATCTCTTAACAACACAATGCAATCACTAGTAAGACTTCCGGTTGATAAAGTATCTGTGAGGAATCTATTCTATATTAACAATGCATTAAATCACATTACACATTAATAAACCACAATAAATAAAACAAATTAAGTGATGTCTCATGTCTCGAGTCAAGTGAATTACGGGTCATTGGACAGGCGTCCAATCACAACTGACTTCCGGAAAAGGGGAAGTAACCAATGACATTTGAGGTTATTAAAATAGTAAGTCCCGCCCCTCGACTGCCAAAAATAAAACTGTTCAGCGAGCAAAAGCAGCAGGCGAGAGCAGATCAAGCGCGAGAGCGGGGGGAATGATCATGCGCGCGCGATGGCTTTTATTGCGTGCAGAGGAGATGTCATGCGGGCGCGCGGTTTTTGAATGAGCTCGCGAGTTCCCGTTTCCTCACGTGTAGATCTGTTATCCTCTCGCAGAAGTCATGTACCGCGTGCGCCAGCATCAGTTGTGCGCTCGGTTATTATTGGCATTGATTTGCCACCATAAAAGCTGGCCTAAACCGAAATAGCGTTTTAATTCTTTAGTCATTGAAATAATTTTGATAAACTTTTATGACAGAAATATTACTACATGTAGCCTAAATGATTTAATTCCTTCATTATCAACACTTTAATATCAACTCTTTGTCTCAGACGCTCCTCAGAGAGCCTGTGGGGGGTTGGAGGGAGAGTTCAGTGCTTATGGTGGGGGTGCAGGACAAGCTGTTAATCACTTCTCTTTCATATGGAGAGTGTTGGATAGCCAGCCTGATGATACACTTTTATATTAAAGAGCAGGCAAAGTTCCTTTCAGGATAAATATGTTGATGTGTAAAAATGCAGACCCTATATCTTATTAAATTAGCTGTATTTAAAGGTTTTCTTTTTTTTAAAGTGTTCAATCCAGTTGTTTCAACTGGTTTTGTATTGGTGTAGAATGTTTGAGCAGTGTGTATGATTGTCAACAATATGGCATTAACTGTTGAACTGTTGACGAAACGCGTTCATGCCAACTAAACTAATGTGAGTGAGCAGCAGACAGAGCTCTTTTATTCACGATCGAGCAACCTCGTTTTATTGTAGGGTGAATTCAACAAGGTATTCTGTTTCTTTTAAGCAACAAATGCTAAATAATAATAATTTACAGTTGTTGTTTTTTTTGTCATTGGTGACACGCAGCGACATACAGTTTTATTAGCTGTATGATGCGTTTCAAAATTTACAAATTTAAAATGTCGGAAGAATTAAATTCTATATTTCTAATTTTTCTTCGCAAAGGGAAAAAACACTAGATCCAACCCTGTTTTAAATAAATAAACAAACTGTCCTGACTCTTTATTTAAACCTTGAAATGTATAATAGGGTTATAATTTAATTGTTTTTTATCTTGAAAGCAATACTATTTAGTTAGTGTATAATTTTTGTAGCCAAGTCAACAAAATGTTAAGAGCTATTCAATGTAGGCCTATGGATCTGTTTTGAAAAATGTATTTCGTTGCTATGGGTATCACTGTCAGCCATCTCAATTTCGTGAATTATTCACAAAACAATAATTTATCTGATTAAAGACGAGCTTCATAATCATTTAGCTTCATTTTCTGTTGCGATCGGCTGACAATCTTCAACAGCACCTTCGGGTTTTGTCGTCTGTGCAGCGAAACTAGCAAATTGATGATGTAATGTTCCATTAATAAATAAACAAAACAATTGATGTTAATAACTGTTCCCTTTCTAAGCATCAAGAAGGGTAAAACATTAAAGTCCCTGTAAAGTCAAAATTAAGTATGTGTTCTGAGTTTGTCATACCACAGAAAAATGTGTTATTAGCCACCCAGCCAAATTTGAATGATAAAAAAAGCTGCCAAGTAAATAAAATAAGCTATCAAAATCTTGAAAAACTGAGCAGTAAATTCTGCTCTTAAATGCTGGGGGCGTGTCCGCTGTGGGGGCGTGTCCGCTGGCTGCGCTGAAACCACGCCCACTAGCGGGAAAACTTCCGACGGTGATATTAGGTGATATGGCTATCGGGACGGGAGGATGAAGGCCAATGACGGAAGATAGTCGGTTTGGCCCCATTTACCCATTCACGGATTATCAGTGAATCCCAGAATCTCAGACGAAAGTTTATAAATCTATCCCGTGTAAAATGTTCACTACAGAAGCGGGTTTTGGTGGTGATCCTCAGCTCTCCATCAAGGTTGGCTCTTCACAAAATGAATCCACCTCTTCTTGATGTGATCGTTTTTCGGAAAATTAAATAAGGACACCGATCTGTTTTGTACGTGATCGCATCCAGGTAGTACGTATTTCCGCGACGAAGGCATAGCTAGCTAGCAAACTGTAGGCTGTAGTAACTAATAGTACTGACAGTAACTCGCGATTCAGCGGCGAACTGATGTGAATGTCGAACCCTCAATAGCTTCTCAATTTTTAAAAATAAGCTAAAGTACTGGCTACTATTACAACAGATCTGCAACCACTGTGTTGTACATTATCTGTTTTATATTCTGGTTTTAAATTTTATATTATGCACATGTATGTATTGTGATGTTTTATGTGGTGTATATGTAATGTATTTTATTTTATTTGTTTACCTGCCCAGGGACAGCAGATGTAAACTAGCTATTAGCTAATTCTGGTGCAATTACTTTTAATTGTGCATTGTCCCTGTAAAAATAAACAATATAATGAAATGAAATGAAAAAATGTGCTCTATTGTTAGGGGAAGAGCCAGCCTCAGGGGCTCCAGTGCGTCATCAAGTAGGGACGAGGAGAAATCCGAAGCTGACAGTTTTTTCACAGATGATGAAATATTTTACTTTTGATTGAACAATTACAAATGTCTGTCAAGCAAAGGGTTTGAACAATATATTTTTTGTTCAAAAACTGTTCACTATTGTTGTGTGAGGTGTGATTTTCAGTAATAAATAACAAAATTAAAATTTTCGTTTTGAAATTCTTTAGTTTATTGTACATTTATTGTACATGTTTCACTCATACTTCCTTTATAAACACATTACATACTAGCTTAGGGTCTTCTGAATCCATAGATACCAAACACATGGGGCCCTATCTTGCACCCGGCGCAAATGACTTTGTACACTGACGCATGTATCATTCCTATTTTGCACCCGCGCAAAGCGGGCTTTTCCCTCCACAGACGCACGTCGGTAAACTAGGGAATGAACTTGCGCTCCCTGGGCGGGTCGGAGCAAAAAGGAGGCGTGTTTTGGCGCAAACATTCCATAGTGCTATTTTGCAGTTCCAGAAAACAATTCCGCCACTGACCAGAAAAAACCTAGTCTAAAGTCAGTGGCGCGTTGGGCGTTGTTCATAATGCTATTTTAACCCTCTGGGGTCCAAGGTGTTTTTGGGGTCCTTGAGATGTTTTGACATACTCTGACATTTGTGCTTTTTTCAGTTGCTTATAAACATATTACTGGCAAAGGTGTAATTACACTCTATTTAGCACAAACAGGGCTACCATAATATGTTATCAACATGTATGTACATTTTTGTATTTTTGAGAGTTCAAAGTCGATTGACGCTCTAGAGCGTCAGAGGACACACCCCTCAGAAATCTATTTATAACTTCGGATCGGATCATGGTATTACAATCAGCTCCAGGTGTGTGTGTGTGATAGCCGAATAAGCCGATGCAACTTGTTGTACACGGTCCTAGGACGCAGTTGTATCTGTTTTCAGATACAGCTCTTTTGTACTTCGCAAGATTCTTTTCGAAGAGAATATGGCACAACAGAGATTCTCTGCCGAGCAAGTAGCTGAAATGCTTTTTGCCGACAGTGAGGAAAATGAAATAGGATCCGATCCGGATCGGTTTGATTCAGAGGAAGAAGACCAAATATTCCACGGAATCGATCCATTTGAGGAGTAAGTGTGAATGATATATTACTGATAATATGTTTGTCTGATATATATTGTATCGTTTTTTAGTCAAATGATTTTATTATAGCTGTTCAGAAATAACGGAGCTGTAATCAAACAATGTGTGCCGTGCGCGCAATCAAACAAAGAGCGCCATGTGCGTAATCAAACAATGTGCGCTATGTGCGCAATAAAACAATGTGCGCGTTTTGGCCGCATGTAATCATATTCATTTATAAGCTATTTCGTTTACTTTGTTTGTCTATTTTATTGTAATGTTTTTTAGGAAAATGTTATTGTAGTTTTTCAGAAATAATGGTACAGGGAGTTATCTAAGGCCTGTAGCACTATTTGTCTATATGGGAGGGGGTTTGCTTTAGACGTTGTATTCACTCTTTGCATTTTATTGTAATGTTTTTTTAGGGAAACATTTTTGTAGCTTTTCAGAAATAATAGTGCAGTAAGCCTTATCTAAGGCCTGTACTATTTTGCCTACATGGGAGGGGGTTTTAGACATTGTATTTACTCTGTGCATATACTATGATAAAGGCACCAGTAATAATTTTGTAGTTAGTCCTATGAGTTGAACATAAAATATGCACACATGATGATAAATAGCTAATCTTTATTTCTTTATTAGTAAGGCTGTACAACTTTTGATATGTGGGAATCTAAACTAATGACAAAATCTGTGTGTTATAGTCTAAATCAGGAAACTGCAGAGCAGCCGGGTACATCTGCTGAACCCATGACCCCGACCACTCGCCCATTTCCATCCAGCACCGCTTCTGCTCCTCCTGCAGCCTGCCGATCAAGGTCTCCTCCTGCAGCCCGCAGATCCATTTATCCTTCTCGACCCGGCTCCTCCAGCACTGCCACAGAACTGATGATACACTTTTCATCAGTGTATCATCAGTTACACTGATGAAACATCATCTGCGACCCCTGGCTTGAGGTCGCGTCCTAGGGGAAGGAGGCAGTCACTTTCACCTGTCCAATGTCCAGCACCACCACCAGACCAGCTGGAACAAGGATGGAAGACTGAAAATGATCCTGATGTGGCCCCCATTCCACACAGGTTTTGCCCCAGACGTGAGCCTGGAGTGCAATTGGACACCTCCGTAGAGCAAAGCCCCCTCGGCCTTTTCAAGCACTTTTTTAGTGCTGATTCCATCAGGACATTGTGTGCCAACACAAACAAGCTGGTGGAGAGAAACATTGCTGCTGGGAAAAGGTACAAGTGGACCAACATCAACCCTGTGGAGATGTTCAAATTCATTGGCTTGGTTCTGTACATGGGAGTTCTAAAGCTCCTAGCAGTAAGTGACTATTGGAAGAGAAAAAAAAATATTTCTGTGAATTTTCCAAGCACTGTGATGTCAAGGGATAGGTTCCGTGCCATATCTTGGAATATCCATATGAGTGACCCAGAGGAAGATGTTGTCAATGACAGAAAGAAGCAGACACAGCCAGATGAGTATGACACACTCTTTCGTCTGAAGCCATTGATGACTGAGATAAAGGCCGCCTGTCAGTCTGCCTACCATCCCAGGAAGCAGCTTTCCATTGATGAGAGGATGGTGGCCACCAAGGCAAGAACTGGGATGACCCAGTACATGAAGGCGAAACCCACCAAATGGGGGATAAAGCTGTTTGTGCTCGCAGACTCCAGCAACGGCTATACCTGTGACTTCAGCATTTACACAGGTAAAAGCAGGTTGGCCTCTGGGCTAGGGCTCTCATTTGACTCTGTGGTGGAATTGATGAGGCCATCTTTCCTAGGCAGTGGTTATCACCTCTACTGTGATAATTTTTACACCAGCCCAAAACTCTTCAGGCACCTGCTGTCCCTCAATTTCGGAGCCTGTGGAACCATACGTGAAGGGAGGAAGGATGCTCCAAAAACGAAACTAAACCAACTGCCCAAGAAATCCCCCAGAGGAACTCTCAGGTGGATAAGAGAAGATGACCTTCTCTTCACTAAGTGGATGGACAACAGGGAGGTGGCAATGTGCAGCAGTGTCCATGTTGCTTATGATGGGGACACTGTCAAGAGGAAGCAGAAAAAGAGGGATGGATCCTGGGAGGAGATAAACATACCAGTACCAAAACCGATTGTTGATTACAACATCTACATGGGGGGTGTGGACTTATCAGACCAGCTGATCCAGTACTATTCAGTGCAACACACAACAAGAAGATGGTACAGAACCATGTTTTTTCATTTTATTGACATTGCTGTGACGAATGGCTTCATAATGTACAGAGAAATCCAAAAGCTGAGGAACACACCAGCCAACCAGCTCACCACCCACAGGGCCTACGTGGAGCACCTCGTGGCTGAGCTGTGTGGTGTCACAGTTGGGGCTGTTCCTGTACAAAGGGAGAACTGGGCATATACCTGTGCCAATCTCCATTCCAGTTACACGGCTGAGGTGTGAGAAATGCAAGGCGGATTGGTTCCCAAGAAAAGACACCTCATGGAAGTGTAATGAGTGTGATGTGCCGCTCTGCCTGCAGCCAGAGCGCAACTGCTTTCAAATGTGGCACATGTAAGAAAAGCACATCAATATTTCAACTTTCCAATGCAGTGCGCAGTGCACAGTGCCATCTAGGGGTGGTTTTTGTATATTTTGTACATATAGACTGAGAATATTCCATTCTAATGACCATTGGGTTCCCTTCATATTCTTATTTCTGTTTTGTGAACAAAAAAGTATGGTGACTACAGTTACAAAAATGTAAATATTTGTTTTGTTTCTTTATATTTTTTCACCCAATTTTTTTTTTGCAAGTGTTCTAAAGCCTTTGGGGAATAGGCTTTTTTCTAAAGCCTTTGGAGCCTTTTTTGTTGTAAAATCCTTTGTTTATTTATGTTTCATATTTTTATATAATAAAAAAAAAAATCTGTTTTTGTATTTCTTGGTGATATATCACACAATAACTCATATAATTGTCTCAAAAAGTGTATTTTCAATGCATCCACATTGTAGGTGAGAATCTATAGAATCCAGAAATATGTCTCTCTTTACTCTGCTATGAAAATTGACCATTCCAGAAGCAAAAATATCAACATAGTGCCAGGTGGCCTTAAAACCCCTTAGACTTTGAAGGGTTATGCGTGGTTATTGAAAAAACTAAAACTTAAAGTTTCTGAAATAAGGCCACAAAACACATACTAAATATGTGTCCACAATACTTTTGACTAATGAATGTTGTCGCCTAGAGTTTTTTCTTCAAAATGATCTGAAAATCATCCTGCCTTATCATTCACATAAAACAATAGATTGGTTTAAATTTAAAAATGACACTTTTTGTTTGGAAAGGCAATATGCGCAGGGGTGTGACCCGCTGTGATTCACACCTGAGAAGACAATGGGCTCGCATAATGAGCGCATAATGGGGCTGCATACTAATGACCCTTTCATTCAGGTGTGTCACTGAGCCACAAGAATGCAATGACAATATATATATATATATATATATATATATATATATATATATATTAGGGCCGGGACTTTAACCTGTTAATTAAGATTAATTAATTACACACTTTAACGCGTTAATTAATTACACAAAAAAATATTTTTGCACCGCGGAACGTTTCTCACTGGATGAGTTTCGGCGGACCGATTATACTGGCGCACCAACTAGCGTTCATGACGAAGAAGCTGACGAGATCGCTTTGGTTGGCCGGTGGCTGGGAAATGTTGTTACAAAAAACGAACGGATGGAAGCGTCGATAAGAGCATGGTTGTGTGCAAGCTATGCAACAAGGAATTCGCTATTGCTATTAGTGTAGTGTAGCAATATGCTATTGCTACACTTAATGGCAAAAATTGCACTGGTCTGCTGGACTTGGTTGAACAAAAATAAACAATATTTTGTTGCTTAAGCTTATGTATGCAGTCATTATTCAATGGTATACTAAAAATCCATGTGAAAAAAATTACTTCTCACTGTTCTCAGGTAAAATATTTATGCGATTAAAATGCGATTAATTTCGATTAATTAATTACAAAGCCTCTAATTAATTAGATTAATTTTTTTAATCGAGTCCCGGCCCTAATATATATATATATATATATATATATATATATATATATGCCTATATAATACAAAATTGGTTCACAGTTCCAATTATTTATTTATTTTTCAAATTGTGCTTGCAAATTGTATAATATCAAATGTAAAAATTTCTAGTAATTGTGCAGTTAATTATCATACTGTTTTTACAGAAAGTTTGGGAATATATCCCAAATGTGTCACTAATAAAACACAATACAAATAATTTAAAGAGGAGGCTTATATTGAGCTTTTAAGATTTATTTATATGTAGCCTACATATATTTTTGCTATTTTAATAAAAAGGTTACAATTACAACAACAATTAAAATTTTAACTATTTCAAATGTAATCTTTCTTTGTATATACTAAAGTATACATTTTATCATACATATTTCACAGTTGCGGATTAATTAGTTTGAATATAGCCTACAATCGAACAAACACTATAATAACATCTTAGCAAACAAGCTTATTTGATGTGGCAGTATTTTACAGTAAAAACGACATCTTGTCTTTCATATGTAACATATCGTTTTTATGATTAGGACATATAAATGTTAATTTGCAGTTTAATACGTTACTTATACAAAAATATTTTATTTCAACATATTTCAGTCGATTTTTACTCATCTCAGTATTGGAATATAGTTAGGTAAAAGCTGTTCATTCATTCACACACAAAATGTGATTCATATTCAAACAGTCTTTTTGTTTACAGACACTATTTCATATCGCGATTAGCACAAAGCACTTGAAAATAAAGAATGTACCTATTCCTCAGCTGGATCCGTTGCTCCTCCAAATGAAACTACCTGTACTTCTGAGGTAATTTTTTTCAGGATTATTATTAAGATAGTATTATTCCTCACAGCGTTGTAAATATGAGTCTCTTTCGGTGGGTTATCCAGCTGATGTGGGCGTGGATCGCCTCAGAGCATTTGTGTTTGAATAGAGCGCGCGCCCCGGGGGGTGGTCAAATTAACTTTAATGGCCTGAGACGAGAACGTCTATCATCTCTCTCTTTTCATACAGATTACATAAAATGAGAAAATTTGTTTTTTATATAAATTACTTCATTTAAAAGAAGATAATTCAGGCTTCATGCCTGTGTGCCTGTATACCTGTTTGACTGAGTATTTGCAGAGTTACAGTTCACTTTTCGGACGTGTTTCAGAATGGACTTCACTGACAGAGAGAACGCAGAATGCGCATCGTGTTTATTTTTCTTTATTAGGCGAAAAGCACAACACTTTGTTTTTATTATGAGGTTCCACAAAAAAATACAAACTTAACAGGATTGAATGATGTACAACACTTATATATGTAAGATTAAAATCAACAGAGTAATTTGAGTCTCTTTTGCACTGATAAGGAAAAAAGTGAGCTGGTATCGCCGGCGAGACCGCCGACCCCAGAGGGTTAAGCGCGCATGCTTGGCCATAATGTAGCGGGTGCACAACGCACATACACTTTGATTCTCTCATCAACACAGATCATTTTCCAAAATCATACATTATAACAAGGAAAAATATTAACACATGAGGGAAATCAATGTGGTGTCCATGAAGAAGTAAAAATTATTTTATTTTTTTCTCCCACGCCTGTTTAAGCGACGCTGATTTGGGTGGGTTTCTCCCATCCCCATACAACGTCACTTCTCTGTCTTTCACTGCCCTGACAAGAACGTCTGTCTCCTCGGCTGTGAACCGCTCCTGGTAAATCCGCCATAATAATAACAATCCGCCATGCAATATGCGCACCTGCTCTTAAAGGGTATGTTGGATGACGCTCTGATTGGTTTATTTCACGTTACGCCCAAACCACACCTATGAATAATGAAGCTATTTCAGGCCAACCCCTTTTAAACTTGCGTCGGGCGCAAGAGTCATTTATCCCGCCGGTAAAATAGCAACAGCGCCCAAGACCCGCCCACAAAGTTACTTGCGCTTCACGCTTGATACTTACGTTTCAGATCGTTAAAATAGGGCCCATGGTGTTCAATCTCCATTACATATGGTTTATAAGCCCAAATGTCAAAATAGAGAAAACGGACCAAAAAGGGCTAAGTCCCCAGAGGGTTAATTCTTAAAATAATAAAGAATGCTAAAACAGAACTGATGCCGACTAACATCGGTTAGCAAGTCCTGACAATGTTTAAATTATTAAACGATCATTTTGTTTATGCCACCGTTATTTTAATTTGTTAGTAGATTTAATAACTGAAACGATGTATAATAGCCTACTAATTATATTGACGCATAACCTGAGATTAGCCTATAGAAAAACTGGGCACACAATATTAGCCTAAAGTTTAACCTACTTTGCTTAAATTTGATGCAATAATACAAGCCTACATTTGTTTTAGTTCTAAATTTGTACTTTAATTTCAGTATTGTGATTAAGAAGTCGTTTAACTAAAATGTTTCACTTGAATTTATCTGCTACCAGTTCTCAACGAGCCGCGGCAGATTACGCAATAGAGAGTAAAAACTGACACTTTCAAAGTCTGTGATAGTAGCGCTTCTTAGCGGTAAAAGGCAGCAAATACAGCCCCCAATTTAACAGCGGCGGCAAAAGTATTATTCTGGTTGAGGACCAACTGTATACTGATCCATAATGTCTATTTGACCTGTAGCTCGTATCACAACTAAACTGTGTTGACGTTTATCATCATCATGACAGAACCTGCAGCCTCTGATCTGATCTTGATCATTTTTGATGCAACAAATTGTCAAGCTAATTGTATCGCTAAAATAATATATTAGTTATGAATATTTAGCCTAATTAACTAGTTTAGTTAAATATTCAATCCTGTCTCACCTGAGTGTCTTCAGTTGACAGTGTGGATCCTGTAGTAAATCATTGAGCTGCTTCACTCCTGATTGTCCAGGATCATTCCCTGTGAGATCCAGCTCTATCAGGTGTGAAGGGTTTGATCTCAGAGCTGAAGCCAGAGCTTTATAACCTTCTTCTGTTACACTGCAGTTAGAGAGTCTAGAACAGGAATGAAAGCATTCAACTGATTAATCAGTTAAACCCCAAACAATATAAATCCTTAAACTTGAATTTTATTTTGTTCTTTGTACAAATGCATTGAAAGTTAGTTGCAAAAACTGGCAACTGAATATGGAGGCAAACAAAAGGCACAGAAATATTTAATATGTTAGACATCAACATCACTTTCGAGATTACAATTATCTAAAACTGTGTAAGCCCGTTTATCGGTCCAAATGGGGGTTTCCTCCAGAACGGGTGAAGGTTTCTGCGTGTTACTGTCTTTCCACGTGGCAAAGCAATTTAAGTCCATTTAAGCTTTTATCGGACTCCATTTTATATCTTAATCCATTTTATCATGACCTCGAATTTAAGTTAG